ATATATATATATATATCTTCTATTTTGAATCATTCAGATAATGTGACTGAAGTTAAACATCACTGTTCATCAATGTCACTGCCTAGTTTTTAAACAAAAATGACGCACCATTCCAATAATGATTTAGGTCAGCCATACAACTTAGCATCACCAAGTTACACAATAATAATTAGCATGGTTGTAAATATTTTGTTAACGTTGCCTTTCGGACTACGTGGTGTTGAGTGCGCTGTGGTGCAGTTGTGGTCTGCCGTGGATATAGAACGCTCTGCTATGGATATAGAATGCAATTTTAACGATATATGGTCTAACAGCTCTGGTAAGTCTTCAGTTTGATAAGTTCATTTTAAGCCTATTCGTACTTATCAGTTTAGAAATACTGTAGTTGAATAAATGCATAATGATAATGTAAGCGAATAAATAAATAAATAAATAAATAAATAAATAAATAAATAAATAAATAAATAAATAAATAAATAAATAAATAAATAAATAAATATATATATAAATAAATAAATAAATAAATAAATAAATAAATAAATAAATAAATAAATAAATAAATAAATAAATAAATAAATAAATAAATAAATAAATGAATGAATGAATACAATGTAAATAGATGGCAAAATATATTAAGCGCAACATTCACTTCTTTCATTTGAGGCATGTACTATCATTTTAACCGTGTAATGCGGGACCTTTTTATACCTTGTTTGGAGAACTTGCCGCCCGATGATGATTTCGAATAAAAAAAATATTTTTGGCCCATTAGCGCACCCGCCGCCACGAAAAAAATGTTCTTTACTATTTTAACACGCCGCCGCTGCCTTGAAATCTCCAAAAATAAGATATGTTACATATTTCTTCATATAAATTGAAAGCATTTAACCATCCCTGTTTACATTCACAAATACAATTTTATTTGTATTTTCTCCTCAGTTTGTATGTTTTGGTAAAACTATTTGCTAAATAAGAAAACAATTTTTGTTCGCCTTCCTCTGACTACCTTCAAGAAATTTAGTTCGCGAAACAAGGTATGAAAAAAAAGTATCGCATAAAGAAATTTAGAAAACATTTTCGGTTATTTCAGACAATGAACTAAAATTCTGCGATGGTGAAAATGGAACCATGTCATTCCCGACCGTTATAGAAGGCGAACAATTCTTTATAGATTGTAGAGTTCCGAATGCGGATTATATTGAATGGTACAAAGATGGAATATTACAAGTCTTTCCACCATATGAGGATGATGATGATGATGGTGAACAGAAATGTAACGAGCCGGAAGTGCTCAGTGGCAATCAGGTACTGTATTTTCAGCAACCGCAGACGTGTCATAATGGCATTTACACATGTGTGGCCAGAAATAATGCGACGCTTCAGTTTATATTCCGTAACATAGAAGTTCATGTAAAGCGTAAGTACAGTAGAATAAGAGGGATGAAGGAGATCTGCTAATATAAAGAAGGAAAGGAAAATCTGTAAGGCCTAATGCTGTGGCTATGATCTCCCAGTGGGACTGTGGTCCAAACGTATGAGTTATGAATAAAGCCTACCTACCAGTAGTGGCGCCAGTGACTTGCCCGAGTGAAGTGGGGGGGGGGGGGGGGGTGATATTTTGGGGGGGGGGGGGGGGTGATGTTTTTGACGAGATAAGTGGGTGTGGCCAGTCGTTTAAATCCCTCGAATGTGTCCCAGGGGCGAAGCCCCCTAAAAAATACAATTTAGGGGTTTCGAAAGGCTTATTTAATCGACTTCGGAGTCTACTGGTATGTAGAAAATACATATACGTTTTTTTCTCCCCGAAGAATTGTTGTTTTTCTCCCCGACGGGGGTCCACCTATCCAGCACCCTCCCCCCCCCCCCCCCCCCCCCACCTATCCAGCACCCTCCCCCCCCCCTCGCTGGCACCACGATGTACTACGATGAATATATTGGTGGTGGTACTACTACTAATTATAATAAAATAATGTAATAATAATACAGTAATGATATAAATAGGGACTTTTCGCAACCTTCCGAAAATGATAACGAATACGAATACGTCATGTTTATTATCGTCATTTGTGCCTAAAACATTCTTGAAAATATATAAGAGCTGAATACGGTAAGCATGGTGGCCTACGTTGTGACATATATGCTGCAGGGGCCCGGATTGATTAAACATTTGATGACGTAGCCGTATTGGTTATCGATTTCGTAAGCTTGAGAAACCTCCCTATTGCAATTACGATAACGATTACGATAACCATTTTTATTAAAATTAATATTAAGAATAATAGAATTAATAAAATATGGTTTAAAGGTTTGCATGGCGAAACAACAATGATAAATACTTGCGGTACACCACATACAGTAGATATAGTTCAGAAAAGAACTGTTGCTTGCGTTGGGAGTGTGTCTCGACGTTCCAGTGACTATTGAACCAACTCAATCTAGAAACGTCAAGACAAAAAAACAAAACCCAATTTTTTTCAGAAATATTTACGAGGTATTCTACAAGCTTTTTTTTTTTTTTTTTTATCAATGATAATGATAATAATAATAATAATGATGATGATGATGACGACGACGATGATGATGACAACGAGAACATTGGCAATAACAATGATTCCGATATCGATAATGATAAGATAGTGTTAATCATAGTAATATTTATATTAATAATAACAGTAATAATAGCAGTAACAAAACAGTAAGTCTATAATATTTTTGGTAAGGCTTAAAGAGAATCTTTAGCATCATAGTCTCTTTCCTGTTTACTATATAGCTATCAAACCTAATGGTGATCCAGTAGCTAAATCGTGTCGGCTTGATCATCCCATCTACGAACCGCACGATAGCACAAACATCTCGTGCAGTTTCTACGTTGGAGTTGATATCAAATATTATTTTACTTGGAAATACTTCAACAGTAGTGATAGTCTGCTGTTTCTTGACACCGAAAATGGTATCCCTGCCTCAAACTCTGTATTTAACGAGTACAGCATACGTACCAGGTTGGCATACTGTAGTATTTCACTAGTGACGTAAATATATTTAGAGGGCGTGATGATCTAGGGCTGTAAGAGATCAAAATTACGTTGATGATGATTGTGGTGATGACGATGGTGTGATGATGCATGTATGATCAGAAGAAATGATTGGGAGAATGGCATGAGCTAGGGAGTGATTATTAATATAAAGAGGAATAGAACGTAAGAGTGTTAACCTAAGATGGTATAAGGGCAGGAGAGTATGAGAGGATTAAAAGAGTATTATGAGGAAGTGAAAGGCCGGGGACGAAAAAGAGGAAACCGGGATTAATGGATTTATGACGGATGAGGAGAAAAAAGAGAAGGAGGAGGTGATGACTATGACTATGACGATAAGGATAATGTTGAGGAGGATGATGACATTGATGATGATGATGATGATAATGATGATGATGATGATGATGATGATGATGATGATGATGATGATGATGATGATGATGATGATGATGATGGATAGGACCACGAAGATTATGGTGAATATAATGAGGTGGATGATGACGTTAATTATAAAGATAATAATGATAATAACGATTATGATAAATATATTAATGATGATGATGATAATGGATAATGATAATGATGATGATTATGATTATGAAGATTTATAATAGTGATTCTGATGATGATGTTGTTAATGATCATCATCATGAGCTGGAGGCTTACAATGAAAAGAAGACGTTAAAAAATAACTTATAACGATGAAAATGACGATATTATGAAAATTGTCACAATATTTTTGATATTGGCTTAAACGACAGGATGACGTAACACTGAAGATAGACCTATATGTATCTTTAATTGTTCGAGGATATGAATATATTTATTACAGTAATGATTCGGCAACGGTCTCTTTGGAGGTGCTAGATGTAGACAAAGGGGCGTTAACAACCTACATGGCTCTTGTTATAGTTGATAACGTCATAGTTAATAATACCCACAAACTTAAATTTACTCGTAAGTATAGTGTGCCGTTGCAGTAAGTAGTATAACAATATGCTCATATGATTCTGAAGAATATTATTATTAATATTGTTGTTAAACTTCATGTATCATAGAAAGAATGGGATTCCAAACAAATTTTATTTCAAATTATCAATACCCGATAATACATGACGACAAATAAGTCTAATAAAAGTATTTGCAAATATTCTCGATAAATTGTTTAAACAAACATTCATAAGAAAACTAATAATTATTTACTGATCATATTATACTCAAATATACGTTTATTATTACAGTATCATCAAAACATATTTTGCAATGATTACAGCCAAATGCAAGATATATATTATTAAGTCAGGCCCTCACTTGCATAATTATCCAACAATTCCTAAAGCTATTTTTTGACAATGACTTCGTCGTTATATTAATAATTAAAACATTTGAAATTGTTTTAATCCACAGCTCGATATTTTGAGTATGTGCCACTGGTTAGTGTCATTGGCTCTCTGGTCTTATTGGGGCTTAGTTTTGCAATCATTTGGTATTTTGTACACCTTGATGTGCGTATCTGGATTAAGGATCGTAAGTTCCAGCACAATCCGGTTCAAGATGAAGGTAGATTACTACATATATTTAATTAGGCATGAAATAATAATTGATAATGATGATGATGATAATAATAAAAACAACAACAACAACAACAACAAGAGCAGCAGCAGCAGCAACAACAGCAGCAGCAGCAGTAGCAGTAGTAATAATAGGCATATTTAGTAATAAAATGACTAAGCCTTCGGTACACCATGTGTGAGAATAGGCCTATGGTATTTTGAGGTAAAGCCATTGCACTGGTTTACTGTCTCGAAGTTTCAGTGAGATTGCTTTGATCGTATATATCAAGAGAATGAGAAAAGATTACTTCTGTTGGTCATAAATACAGAATGGTCATAATAATAGTAATGATGATGACGACGACGATGATGATGATGATGATGATAAATAATATTGATATTAATAATAATAATAATAGCAATAATGATAGTGATGATGATGATGATGATTAGTGATGATGTATCGATAATGCTGATAATAATGATACAGATGATAACAATGAGTAATGAAAATAAATATCATTAGTAAATTTCACCGTAATAAATAGGCCATAACAAATTCACAAATAAAGCTTATTGTGACTAATGACAGTTTATAAAAACATCAGATTATGTAGCTGTACACAGCGTTCAATGAAAATATGCATCTTAAAAAGAAATTAAGAATATTTTGAGTTTAAATAACCGAGTAGAATAGAAAGGAAAATGAGGACACGTAACTGTATCTGTATTATTCTAAACAGAATTAATGCTCGTCAAGCTCCCGTTTGTGTGTCGAAAAATGTACTTTTATTCCGATTATGTTACTGGACAGAAGCTTGGTAAGGAATATTGTTTTCGTACGTTTGGAACGTACTGAGCATTCACAAGTCATGTGGGGCAAAATTAATACTAATATTTGACGAAAAACATCATCGGAATAGCGGATTCAACACTCACCACTAAGCGCAAGCTCGGTGGCCTAGTAATTAAGACACCAAGCTAGTTATCTGAAGGTCGTGTGTTCGATTTCCCGGGCCACCGGACTCTCTTGTGAGATTTTTATTTTCACAATAATTTCGGAACGTAATGAGCACAGTACGATAAAACATCATCGTATCGTTTGTTTTTTATTTATTATTCATTTCTCTTACCTTTTTAATTTGAAAATGTTGATGCCTTATCATTTTTTGTAACGTGTAAGATTTTCCAATTTTCTATATATCCTTAAGATTCTCTCATTTCAATTTGATGTTTTGTGATTTCCAATCTTTTTGTTTATTAGCAAGAAATAAAACCAGCAAACAGAAAGACAAACAAGATTGAAAATTATTAATAGCTGAACCTGGTGATTATTAATTAACATCACTATATTTTCAGGGTACTGGGATGCTTTCCTGTCGTATAGCGGCTCCGAAGATGATCGGAAGTTTGCCTTGGAAGAGGTCTGGTCTCAACTTCGGAATAACTCGTATTCAGTTTGTTTTCCAGATATTCACTTTTTACCTGGTGCTGGTAAGTATGGTGTTGTAGCCAACAATTATACTATTATGGCTTTACGTTATCAATCAGCAAATAGACTGAAATTCGTGTGCCTATGGCTACTACTTAACGTTCCGGACTCGAACCTGTGAAATATAGTATGAATCAGACTTGCTGCGTAGCACTATTTGAAACAAAGTGGTAAAGAACAGAAACAGTGCTCATGTATAGGAATACATTATATTATGATCGATATTATGCTTATTAGTATTATTACTATTATAATCATTTATATATTTTGCATTTTATTTAATAGCTTATCTGGATGAATATGTTAAACATATAAAACGCAGTAATTACTGTATACTGGTGTTGACAAAGAATCTGAAGTCTAGTCAACACTGGGATTTCCAGTTCTCAATCATAATGGAAGAATTCAGTGTCCGCAATATTAAAGTGATTCCCGTTGCTTTTGGTGATGTATCGGTAACAGAACTGTTTGGACAACGTGATGATCTAGATCATATACTAAGAGTAGTTGATGTCATACGCTGGAAAGAAAACCTATCGGCGAGATCGAAGAGAATTTGTTGGAAAAGATTGTGTTTAGCGATGCCTCCAAAACCAAAAGGAGGGAAACCGTCAGTTGTTGATCAAAATATCGTTCTTGAAAATGTTGAAGTTAGAGTCATGTAAACGAATAAATAATTATTTATTTTTAAATAGACCAGTATCTTTAAAGCAGGGTGCACACTGACGTTGAAAAAAAAACTGGGTCGGATACCACAACGCTGTGAGACGCACGCGGTGGGCCGGGTCGATTTCAACAACCACACAAACTGCCAACCGACAATTGCACGATTCCGCTTTACAAACTCCGTCCATAACTGTTGCCTTCAAACGGCCATGTAAACGTACATGAAGGCTTATTTGTGGGACAAGCGCATAGTTCTTGCCCTGTTCTGCTTGGTCAGTTATTGTGTTTTATTGACACTACATAGTTTCATCAAAAGAAGGAATCGCGTCATCAAGCGATCACACAGTACGGATTGATTCTCCGGCCCAAGGTCGATAGATCCTCGGCGGACAAAGTGTGTGCCCGGCTTTAAGAAAAAGAAACAAAACATTATTTGGTTTCATACATTTATTCAGAAACATGTTTAAAGACATTTTTTTTGTCAATTTGATTAAAAATCCAAATTTGTTTTCTCATTTTCACATTATCAGCACATTATATTCACAATCATTCACATTTTAATTTTTGAATAAATTCATCTGGTTTCATAAATATTTTTTGAATGATTTTCTTTTATTTAACCAGTAGAAACTTGTTACTAACCTGCAATGCTTCAGATGCACTTCGGCTATCCTTTCTCAAGCATTGATTCTAATGCTGGTCAACACCGCTATATACGCGATGTACGCCTTCAGTCAGTAGGTTAGTTTTCTTGGTCTTAGACCTTGCGCCCCGCACCTGATGTTCTGGAAATCAGTAGGTTATCATAAAGGTGAGAAAGTTCATGTGATCCCGTATCCCTGTTTATTACTTGTTCGGTTTTCCTAATCCAAATGCTTTCTTTAACTTGTCTTTGAAAGACCTTAAGTTCACTATCAAGAACATTATGTTATCCCAATCTTGGATGTGGTTAAAATAAATGTCATGATCTGTATTAGCTGATTTATGAGGTTCGGTGGATGTAGAGGCTCTTGCTAATTTGGTGCGGATACCTGGCATGTGTTTTTTCACATCTATTTTTAGAACATAAAATAGATTTGAAAAAACACATATCCGTATAAATTGTTGTCAAATATCATGTTTAATCTTCCGTTTAAAGTCTCCAATCATTAATAGGTCATGGGTAAATGAGCCAATCCAGACAGCTTTACTTTTTTTTTACTATTCATTTTTTGTCTGGAAGCAGAGAAATTGTTTAATCAGAAAAAAAAAATAGGCCTAGTAGGCTAATTTTTACGTTTACCTAGAAAAATGGTAAAAATGAGAGTCCACCTATAAAACACATGTGAGAAACACAGAGTAGAATTATCTTTATATTTCTCTGCATGATTGTGTAAAATGTCATCCTCTAAGTTAGTTACGACGACCCCTCAGTTTGAGAAGGTATTTGGACGATATTTGTATCTCGGGCGTATATAATACATTTCACCGTCGGAATTCAAACTTTTTGATACATTTCATGGACTTGATACTGCATCTCTGGCTAAAAACGAAACCAAATGCAGGGGTACCGCTAATCTTACAGATAATACCATTTTATGAGGTTTTAAATGTTCGTCAAAAGCTTATTTCCCCGAATTTAAAATTGCGTACATTCATAGGCCTACTAAAATTTTAGTAGCTTAATTGCAGAAGTAAATTCGTGTTTTTCGGATGATCCGCACAAAAGAACATGATTTTAAAAATCTAAAATTTGCACCGGTATGTCGCGCGTATAAGACGAGCTCCTGTTTTTCGATCGTAATATACTATTTTAAGCCTCGTCTTCATATACACGAGTATATGGTATGCAATCCAGTGTAGCATAGTGGCTTATAATTCAATAATACATAGAGGATGTGTATATGCTTTGCATTACCTTTTCTTGGTTTAAAGAAACCGTGATCATCTCATTTAATCGTTCAGCTTGGTATTTTAAATATTTAGTCCAAAGATTATTTATTCTTTTCAGAGTTTAAATGATTATTTTAAATGATTTATCTTACTTTGTATTTCCTTACAAACAATGACAGATAAAGAAAGGAGAAAGTAGTTTCCTTTTTTTGTTTTACCTCTTCGTTTCTCTTCCTATGTTCTTTAAATGGTTAGGTCTATATCAGGACCACATGGAGAAAAAAATAAAACCTTAATGAGTCATCCTTACATCAAGTTAGGCCTATATTTTTTCAATTTTATTTTGTTCTCTGAATATTCTGCGAATAGTGAACGGAAATTTCCATATTAACCATCATTTAAAAAAAAAATTTTTCCAATGTTAATCAATAAAAAGATTATAATTAGAAGGTTAGTAAAATGTCACCAAAATTACGAGGAACAGTGAAAGTTGCAAAAGTACAATGTGCTAAAAATAAATCTGATGAAAATCCAGTTGCATTATATTTATCTTAAAGATCTTAAAGATCTCTCTTGTAATGTCTATTTAATCTTAACAAGAGTAAACCATATGCTTCCAGCATCATCCTTGCCATTCATACTCCGTTCAAATACAACACCAATATGATTTTCATCGACACTCGTCAACGTGGAGTAGGCTGCTGGACCTCGATAGATACTTAAGGCTCCATCCCAAGTCTTGCCTTCATTTGCACTCCATCTTAAGGTAATGTTGCTTCTGGATTTGCTGCTGGCTGCATTAACAAAGAATAAGTAGCCTCCGTGCACAAGTATTGCTCCTGCATCAATGGGGTCGATCAGTGTGGCGTCAAAGTAGATGCTGTCGAAGTCAATAGTGTCGCCTCCATCATTGCTCAGCATTACCACACGACAAGCGCACTGGTAGTTCATACTATTACGAGCATTAAACATAATGGAACCATTTTGCAGTTCGACAATCTTAATAAAGAAACGGGAAAAAATATCTCAAATAATATTCTAATAATAATAATTATTATTATTATTTCATTTATTTCAGAATCTGTGTCCATATCATAATTGTATCCTATAATAAACAAAGAGAGAGAGATAGAAATTATATATTATTTTCGGGTCAGTATTAAACCACATCACATCTGAAAACCTAACCAGCCTGTAAAATAATTAGAGGGACTAGGTTGGTGGTTTGATGTCATGGGTTTAAATCCTCCTCAAGTTCCTCACTTTCAAAAACTCTCAATGAAAAAACGAAATAGTGGTTTCAAAAATTAAATTCATGAACAATGGTTACACGAAGTTCCAACTTATGTATCCTAAGAATACTGGAGTATTTGTAAAACACTGCATTAAAGAAAGGTAAGCATCATTCCGGGCAGGGAGAGACGAGTGTAATGGACGAACCTGTGCTTAACATGCTCTGTACACTGAACAAAAAATAAATCGTCTACCAGCTGATATTAATGAACTAAACCGAAAATATCGTAATAAAAATTAACCACAAGTTCTAATGTAATGTTTTTAAATGGTGTAGGATATTGAAGGCTAAATATGAAAATCGGTATTAATTTAAAAGGCTAACCTGAACTTCAGATGCAAAAAATCCACCAGCTTTTAATGGGCCATATTTTGGAAGAGATGGTTGAGATGCACCCCGCTTCCATGTTACGCCTTGATCTATAAATATAACAAAATGGTGGTTGGTAATTAAGGTTTTTACTTTATACCAGTTACTACCGTATCTTATAAATAACAAATATATTAGAAGGCCTACACTATCATCACCACAATATCACCACTGGCTTACCCGGTGGTTGCGTTACTGGATAGGGGGGAGTTAAGAACGTCTCTATAGTCAGCGAGGCCAATACCCATCCAAACGCTGTGGTCCATGGATTCGGAGAAACTGACTAAAAAGTCTCAGAACAGTTAAAAATGGTCCTAAATTGCGTTTCGTCGAAAATTATCAGAATCCCTCTCGAAATAAGTCCCTTTGCTGGGACTTATCCTCAATATCTTAACTGTTGTTTTTGTTTCTAACTATTTATGCGTGTTATTTTTGTCTGTGTATATTTGTCCTTGTTAGAGATATTAAATAAATCAAATAAATATGAAATCAGCCTCATCAGCTGAATGATCTAGAGCCATACTTGCATCACCACTGGCCTTGATCGTCAACATAACGACCTGACCACCACCAAACACAACCTTCATCAACATCACAAATAATGTATATGAACATTAAGAAGACTTGGTTGATTTTGACTTTACCGTCACTTATAATGCATTCCAGTCCGTGATGATCCTCGTGTACTGTATGACCACACACAATCAAACGACCTTTATGAGGCTCCAGTTTCTTCTGTATGCCGTATCCTGGCCCAGCAGTCCAGGAATAATTGTACAAATTATTAATATTATTTGTGCCATTTTCCTTTGAGATGTCAACTGGTGGTTGCCATGAGACGCCTCCATCAACTGACTTCAACATGTAATTTGAGGTCACTCCACTTTCACATTCTCGATGTGCACATTCTGTGTACAAAATTAACAATTCTGAGCGCTCAGCGTTGTATAACGTTGCTCCAAGGTTAATACCATCATTGGTGGCAAAGTTTCCGACTAAAAACTCTGCGACGGACCAACTGTATCCCCCATCTACGGAGGTTCTTCCAGAAATAAACTTTGACTTTGCGTCGGCTCTTGAATATTTCCGTGCTTCAGCATATACAACCAGTTTGCCTTGTGAGGTCAACGTAGCAACTGGAATTCGGTAGGCATATACTTCGCCCTGGTCACCTCCTTTGAACAATACTTGGTCCTGAACTACTTCAGGACGCAATCCAAAACACAAAGTAAATAATAATAATAATGGGGAAATTCCATAAATAATCATTTTTAGTGTTACCCAAACAGATAAGACAGGCCCTCTCTAACCGATTTTTTAGGCCTACCCTTGAAAAGAAAAACCAAGTGGTATCAGAATACATGCAGAGCTGAATAGATGTGGATCAAAGATCAATTTGATCAGAACAATCAAACCATTCAAGCGTACAAAAATACCAAGTTCAGTCTGATGCGTCTGATTGTCGGACATTTTATCCAATTGTTCCCAGCTGCCTATAGGATTATACAGTTCTAATGAAATAGTTACCTGAATGATAGGTAGATTTGGCTACTGAAAGTCAGGTTTGTGTGTACTTTCTGTTTTGTATGCTGTTTTTTGAAATGGAAACCGAACAGCAGAAAGTTAACTCTAATCTTGATTATTGTTTGTTTTCTACAAACTCAGTTCAGTGTTCATTTGAATTCAAACAAGCACAAACAAATAAGCCAATCAATATAAAAATGCGTAATACATGAATCAAACTAATAACTAATATGAAAATTAAAAATACAAAATACGTAATATTAATTAATTATTGCTTTTACATTTTGTTC